ACACACACACACACACACACACACATATATACATACATACATACATATATACATATATACATAAAATATATTTCTTTCTATTGGAAGAAAAACAGTATTTTTATAAATATTTTAAAGGCAGCCTCTCAATTAAATTGAACTTTTGTGGAGCAGCTGCTGGCCACTGAATTCTTAAGTTCATTAATTTTCCCTTGGGAATTCTATAAGGCAGAAACTTATAGAAGTCTTCCATAATCTTACATCCTTTAGATGTGTTATATTAACATCTCAGATCTGAAAAGCATTGCCAGAAGAGGGCAGTGCTTGATCACAATACAACAAACCAAAAAATGGGTTGGCATTTGGGGCTACTTTGAAAAGTTATCTTTAGGGATTAGGATTTTTATGTGTTTTCTGATTTTAATAGTACGTTATTTGTTCCTAATAAGAAAAATCTTCCAATTCATTTTGCCAGATCAATTATTTGTTCATATCAGAGAAGAACATCACATGTTCTGAAAGCATGTAACTTCTTTTCCTATTTGTGTGTCAGTAACTATGAATTTAAATTTTACTTCTGTGCCACATCTTTATATTTCATAAAAGAAAACATTTCTTAGAGTAGTGTACATGGTTGGAGGATAAAACTCTGGCTGTCTGGATAGCATTTTTTATATATGAAATGGATAAATATTTTGCTAGCAGTAGGCTATTAAGATAAGAGCAAGTTGACTGCAGCGTTTGAATGGTACATTACAATAATACAATCCTAGTTATACTATCATGCTTTGGATTTGACTTGCAAAATATTTGCCAAGAGATTAATTATCACTACATTCTGTAATTATTTGAAATAAATGTTGCTGTTTGTGTTTACATTATATATGAACTAGCAACTAACCTTTAGATAGTAGTATTTTTTTATGTAGTGATTTGCAAACAAATCTATCTGTCTGTTTATTTATTGATCTGTTGATGTAGTGAAAAACAGGTTACTAGTACTCATAAAATCCCAAACAATCCTAAATTCTTTGGCGAAATTTCTTAGCAGCAACCCATGCTCTACCAGTGAATAAGGGTGAAATAATGTATGATAAAATAATTTTCTCAAAATTACTGTTATCTAGCACTTAATAAGTAGGATTTATTTTTGAAGAACCATAATATACATTGATAACCCCTAGAAATTCTTTGAATAATTGGAAGTATTATCTCTCATACCAGATATTCATTAATACTTTGTCAGTTTGTTGGGGACCAGATAAAAATAACTCTCTGGGTTAAGGTGTTTATTTTTAATATGAGCTCTGCCATATGTTCACCAGCAAATCATCTGGATCATGGCTTGGTGGGTTCTCAGGCTGTGCTCATAGTAACAGGTTATCTTGACCATTTCAAACAAAGCTTTAGAACGAACTATGGTTGATACCACATAGGTCAACTTGATCTTTGAGGATCAATAATGAGAATGTGTTCCTGTTGCTTCTCATAACTCTTTCAATAGCCTTTGAGTAGTATATTTTTTCTGGATAGACTGAGACAATTGGAAATAGAAATTGGAAACACATGGCTTTGTAAGTGGTTTCATTCCTGTCTCACGGGTAAATTTTAGATGGTCTTCCTTAGAGTTGCTCTTAGAATGGGAGCTATTGTATGGTTTATGGCAGTGGTGGGATTCAAATAATTTACCCACCAGTTCTCTGCCCTAATGACCAACTGGATAGGCGGGGCTTGGTGGTCATGTGATCATGTGGTCATGGCCAAGTCAATGTAACTCAGGCCGATGGGCACTTTGCCTTAGTTGTTACAATGGTAATAAGGGTTAACTGGAGAGGCAGTTTCTGTATGCAAGGCAATAAAGATTAGGCTAGAAACAACACCAGAATGTTTCCTTCCTGCCTTCCTTACAGGATTAGCCCTGTAAAGTGGGAAAAAACAAAAGGAGATTTCTTCCAACAGCTGGTACCCCGAACTGCTTAAAAGTTAACATCTGGTTCTCCTGAATAGGTGCGAACTGGCTGAATCCCACCACTGCCATAAACCATACAATAGCTCCCATTCTAAGAGCAACTCTAAGGAAGACCATCTAAAATTTACCCGTGAGACAGGAATG